TATATATAACATGTCATGTGACTTGACAATTTTGTTTTTTATCGCAGACCGCAAGATTATCCAAAATCATATCAAGTATCCGTGGGAAGTCTGTTGTGACGGATTCAAATTTGACACCCCCAGCTGATGAAAGTTTATTGAGACAAATTATAAGTGGCTCTTCCATTGGATATCCTCCTCCTATAAATCAAGAAAATAATAATAATTCTACTGATAACATTCGAGCACATTCAATAAATATTAATAATATTCCAATAATTTCCCCATTAACACCAAAAAAGTTTAGTTTTTATCGCGATAACGAGGAGCAATCAATTATTTCTTATGTAGTTGTTCCTGCTATGATTGAAATGTGTGGACTTTTTCATTTGGATAATCCATGTTGGGTAAAATCATCAACTGATGAGAGGTGGCTTATTCATCGCGAGTACTATGACAAAGCATTTCCAAACCCAAATCGACCATATAAATCATCAACTAATCGAATTGAATCATCAAGGGATTGTGGAGTTGTACCAATGACTGCAATTGAGTTGATCCAAATATTTCTTGATCCGGTAAGTTTTTTAAACATTTTCATATTATAATAGTTTTGTTCACAAGTAAGATGAGTTTAAATGACACAAACATGTACAATGAATATTCATATAGCCGACTCTAATTATATGAAATGTTTTTAGGCATGATTATTATTGTTTAAACATTAATCATATTCTAATTGATTTTGTATATGCAGATCAAATGGATGAACATGTTTCCTACTATAGTCACAGAAGCAAGGATTCTTGATTTTCTTGATTCTGGGGATATGGGAATTTCAATTCAACTGGTAAATGTTAATTCATATTTAATATATTTTTCTTAAAAATTAAATGTATATTAAAGTTGCTTCATAAAAAATGATCTATTTTTTTCTTGATTATTGAAAACAGATGTATGAAAAGTTGCATATTTTTTCTCCTCTAGTAGACGCTAGAGAATTTTTCTTCATACGTTGTTGTAAACAACTTGATAATACAACATGGATAATGCTGGATGTTTCATATGATTTATTCAAAGAGATTCAAACTTGTGCACCTTCTTATGCTTGGAAGTTTCCTTCTGGATGTATAATTCAAGATATGGGTGATCGCACGAGTCTGGTAAGAATCACTTCCTCTCACAATAGCTTGAAAACACTAATATTTTGCTATGTGTGTTCTCGATGAGGGCCCGTATCACACAGGCACTGCAGAGATTTACTTTACATTTTTGCAAGAGATTGTTCAACAACTCAAACCTATATATCACTATTCACGTGTAGTTTTTATTCCAAAGAGTGTTACATAGGTAAAATTTTGTAAGTATGGATACATATCTTTTAATATTGTATAAGAATCAAACTATCTTTATTCTCGATTAAATCAATCTTAAATCCTTGTGTTATATTCTTCACACTCTAATTATTTTTATTTTGGATCCTTGTGTTAAATGTTTTCTTGTAGCAATCTAACTTTTGAGTTTTCGAATGGAATTTTGTCAGTTTTATCAGCCCTGAAATGTTGAATTTTATCTAGGAGAGTCGTCGACTTCAGATTCAGAGATTTTTCATGGATTTGACGTCTTAAGATGTGTTGGCTTTTTTCCACGTAATCTGATTGTGTTAGACTTCATTGTTTTTCTTTGCTTCCACATTTGTTGTTATATTTGAATTTTACGCTGACTTGTCTTGGTGGAATAATAGAAGTGTCATCGCATTTTTTTTGAGTCATGACAGTTGATGCCCTAAATGTTCAAATGTTACAAAATATACTAAATAGTTGTATCCTTGTATCTTGAATAATCCTCACATTGTGTGATTCAATACTAAAAAGTATGAATTTGCAACATAGATTCTTATCGAAAATGTTTCCAATTATCAAGATTGTTTTTATAGCTATTTTGATATGCTTTTTTCTTTTGTAGGTCACGTGGATTGAACATGTTCAAGTAGATGAAAAAAATCAGGTTAATCATATCTTTAGAGACTTGTTGTATGGTCGTCAAATATATGGAGCTAAAAGATGGATTGTTACACTTCAAAGGATGTGTGAAAGGTATAATTTTCCAGTGGATGCATTATGTCCTACTAGGCATGGTCTCAAAGAAGGTTCGATTTTATTTTCCATTCTTTGTATTTTTAGGTTTTTAAATTTTAATTTACAAAATAAGATAAGAATATGACAAATACTTTCTGAAATGTACGAGTTCCATCACACCACACACATCCTATTTTGGCAAGTCAATATTTATTTTTCTTTTGTTTATTTTTAATTTTTAGTGGTTAATGATATTTCAGAAGGACTGCAAAATGTTAAACAGATATCTCAAAGGATGGTGAAGAGTTTTTGTGAAATCCTAAGCATGACAGAAAAATTAGATTTTTCAACTTCATCAAAGTTGAATAATATATATAGGGTTTCTATTAGAGAAAATGAAGAAACTACCCAATCAAAAGGCTTCATTGCCACTGCCGCTACATCCCTATGGTTTCCTTTTGCATTCAAAACTATTTTTAATTTCCTCAAAGATGACAAGACTAGATATCAGGTATGTATCGAACTTCTCTATGCCGTGGATAATTTATATATTTTTGTGTTGTTGAATCGAAATAATGTTATAGATAACATGTTAATGTCATATGATATTGATATTAGTTCCAATGGAAGTTAGATGTTATAGTGAAATATATTTGATATAGAAAAGTCTGACGGTATGTATCTTTACGTTGTATATTCAATTTTAATTTAATGAACCAAAATTTTTATAGATATATTTTTTGCATTATTTATTCATATATAACTTGTTTTTAACTAAACATAAATGTACCCTATTAGATTAACTTTTTTCAATTCTTGTAAGGATTTTTCATGTGAAATTCACAAAAATTTCAATATCTATAGCTTTTAAACTACTCCTGAATTTGTCCTATCTACTTATATTGGGCTCCTATGTTATTTTATATGTATGTTCAGCTATTTGCAGTTTTATTTTATTTAATTATAGTCTTACAATATTCATCTCATGAATAATTTTTGTTGATTGAATTATGAGTTTGTAAATTGTTTCAGTTTGATTTTGTTTTTATTTTTAGTGGGATGTTTTTGCTGAAGGAAATAATGTGACTGAGTTAGTTCGAATACTAACCGGAACTCTACCCGGAAACGATATTACAATCATTCAGGTATTTGTCATATTTATAGGCTGCTATTTTCTGAATGAATAGTTGCTCGTGTTTTCTATCTTTTAGGTTAAATATTATGATAAAATATTAGTTGATGACCTGTAGCTAAATATGTTATAAATATTAAGATTATTTGATAATACGTTGTTAGATGGGATAAAAAATAATATTTTTTTTTATTATTGAGGGACAATTATCATACTACTCCCTTCGTCTCATTTTATATGACACCATTTGATCCAGCACGAAATTTAAGAAATAAATGAATACTTAGAATTGTTTACCAAATTGTCCTTCAAAAGTGAACGCATTTTTCTCTCTTTATAAATGTATTAGAGTACTATTTAAAATTAAGCAGGATCAAAAAGGGTTAAAGAGAAATTGTAGGTTTAAATACTTACTATATGAGGAAATTTGACATTCTTTTGGGGATTGATCAAATGGTACCACATAAAATGGGACGGAGGGAGTAATTCTTAATATTTTTAGTGCTTACACTAATACTTCTTAAATTGTTCTAACATATATATGCAGTCTTATATGCTAAAAGAGAACAACATGTTACTTCTTGAAGAGTCAAGCATCGATGAAATGGGAGCATTTTTAATCTATGGACCCATAGATTTACCAATAGTCACTTCAATTGCCATTGGAGGTGATGCCACAAAAGTTGATATTTTCCCCTTAGGTATCATCATAAGTCCCGATGGCCGCCTTGCCTAGGAAAGGGGCAATAATGGAAGTGAAAAAGATGGTTCTATCTTGACAGTGGCTTTTCAAAAATTGATTTGTACTAATAATAATCCAATCTCCGAGGAACAACGTATGGAGGCAGTGACTTCAGTTCTTAACCTTTTGAGCTCTACAGTTTTACATATCAAAGCAGCATTGGGTTGCTTTGATTAAAAATGTGATGTTTTAGTTTTAAAGTTGTTATCTTGATGGATAAAGTTCTAGCCACAACCTTTTGACAATAATGAAGATTTTTGTTGAAAAAATTGTTTCATAGAGGTTCTTCGTAGTGAGACAAAAATTTGATGAAGGAGATTATGGAGAGGAGAAACAAACTGTTGAAAATTATGTGAAGAAGGTGGACAAATCTATTTTGTTGGAAATTCAAGCCATGAGGGAGATTTGTTTAACATTATTTACCCTAAGTTTCTTATCATAAATAGGGTTTCCCTTTAGGAAAAGGTTTTGTGTTGGCTAGTTTGTTTTCTTGTAGGAAAATGTGTAGGACTCTATAAATATAGTTTTGTTCCTTCTAACTTAACCAACATTCATAATGTAGTCTTAAAGGTTTTGAGAGTTTTGTTTAGGGTATAAATCTATGGGACACAAGATTGATACGTTATCACTTGTGTCAACCTCCCATGTATTCTGAGTGAATTAGTTGAGGTTATTTTTTCTATATTTTGTACTCTCATATTTATAGTGGATTGCTAATCTCTTTTGTGGATGTAGGTCGAATTGACCTAACATTAAGTCTTTGTGTCTTTTGGTATATTTCTCGTTTGACTTCTCACTCATGATCTTTCAAGGTTTGTTTTGCTAGTTTCCACATTATACCTAATTATTTTTCACTCCAAACAGAACCAACTACCATCCCAAGGCTAACCTATAAAACTATTTTAGAACATAAAATGATATAAAACACTAGGAGAATAGTTTATAAGCAACTAAATGTTTGAGTTTGCTTTAACTCAACTTGTCAATTAAAAGTGGCCGTGGAATAAGCTCCCTAGAACCTAAAAGTCATAGTACCAAAATATCTAATAGTCTAGCATAAGGGATGCAACCCAAAAAAACAATAGAAATAAAGCGTACATTTTGTCTGAGCCCTAATAATGGACTAAGAAGGAAAAGAAGAATCCTTAGTAACTTTGGAGGAAGAAGCACGCCCTTGGATTCAGATAACGGAACTCTCATAGCCGAGGACTCAAAAAAACCACCGGAGTTTATGCCTTATACTCAACAAAGAAAGAGCAAGTGTAGTAATAGTACACAATCACAATGTGTTTGTAAGATCATAGGATAGATCCAGTAAATGAAATATGAACAAAGACAAATAGTGCTAAAAATTAGTGCATCTTCAGTGTTTTACTGTTTTACTTCTGTGTTGTTTAGTTTACTTAGTCAAATAAATTAGTTCCTATTTCGCAGGAAGTCTATCTTGACAGGTGTCTTAATTAATAGTCACTTTTGGAGTCTAAGTTAGGGACATATTATATACATCTGCTGCGTATTTGTTGTAAAAACAAGGAGCCTTGAGTTTGAGAAAATATAAAGTTCCATTTTCTGTTCGACTGGTGCACTTATTCTTTTTTTTTCTCTGAATGTGCTTTTGTTTTATGGTATCAGGTTATTGGCTTGAACGTTCTTTCTTTCTTCTTGTTTATCAAGTTTGTTAAGTCTTGTTGGAGGAGATTGAAAGTTCCAGAGAAAATGTTTGTGCAGTATGGAGTCAATAAATGGAGGAAATAGTTCAAACACAGTTTGGTGTCGAGAAGCTTATGGGGACAAACTACAAGCACTGCAGAATGTGTATGGAAGCTTACCTTCAAGGTCAAGACTTATGGAATCTTATTGCTGGTGCTGAAGCAAAGATTCCAGTAAATACTTCAGAAAATTTAGAATCACGGAGAAAATAGAAGATCAAATGCGGTAAATTAAAACACTTTTTGCTTTGAGAACATCAATTGGAAAAGGGCTCATCCATCATGTACATGATGTCACCAAAAGAAGTCTGGGAGATACTTGAGCGGTTGTTTACTAAAAAGAACACCACTGGGATGCAACTACTGGTAAATGAATCGGCAATGCTAACACATGCGTGCATGTCTATACCTGAGTATTTCTTATGAGTTAAAATTCAGATCCCGATGAGAAAATTGCTGAAGTAGAATATTCGAGGATTGGACAAAGTAACCTTCAGTTGAAGAGTTTGAAAATTTGCTTCCCAACTAAGAGGCATTGGCAAAGTGTAGAATTGTATATGGAAGATAAATACAATGGCTTGGTTTTCCATTAGCACAACGAGATACATATAGTTATATAATTACAGTGGGCTGAAGTCCAGTAAACAGAATCTAAACCTAAACCTAATCTGGGTCAACACTCCTCCTCAAGTTGGAGCATGAACATCGTGAATACCCAGCTTGGATAAATAAAATGAAAAATTAGGATGAGTTAAAGGTTTAGTAAACAAATCAGCTCGCTGGAGTTGCGTGGGAACGTAGTGGGTCAAGAGCTCGTGACGTCATACACATTCACGTACGATATGGCAATCAATGTCGACATGTTTCATCCGCTCATGAAATAGTGGATTAGCTGCGATATATAGGGCAGATTGGTTATCACAATATAACCTCGGAACTGCGGTAGTCGCAACTCCAATACATCCGA